TATATATATATTAGGGGTGCAACAATACATGTACCCGTATCGAAACTGTTCTGTACAGTGCTTTAGGTTCAGTACACATTTTTTAAAATTATTTTATCAACTTGTCTTCTGAAGATGCTCTGTGTTGAAGGATCAGTGGATCTGTGCTCGACAATGCAGCCTAGGTGGAGTAGTCGAACACAGATCCACTGATCCTTCAACACAGAGCATCTTCAGAAGACAAGTTGATAAAATAATTTTAAAAAATCTGTTTTGTTCGATACAAGGGTGTATTGAACCTAAAGCACTGTATTGAATGGTTTGATATGGGTACATGTATTGTTGCACCCCATATAAATATACAGTATATATATTTATATTTCTCATTCAACCACAGTTAAATTCACTCTGTCTAGAAGGCACAGTTTATATGGATAGCATTTATTTTTTACAATAACAAGCTGGAATGAAAACAAGCAAAAATGAAATAAAAGTAACGACTTTCTACTTGTTGCCTTTTCTTAAATGTAAGGAGTACAAAGTAAAAAGTAGGCTGAAAATAAATTACTCAAAGTACAGACACCCAAAAATTCTACTTAAGAACAGTAACAAAGTATTTGTACTTGGTTACTTTACACCTCTGGCTCAGACAAAGAAACTGAAGCTGGAGCTGCAGAAAGCAGCCACCATCCCCATCAGCCAAATCTCCACCAACTCCGGCTCGCAGCTCAGAGAAATCTTCGAGCGTCTGGACAAGCTGCTGTCCGGACGAGCCGTGGTGTCCGGCGGGAGGTCCGTGTCCACCTCGCAGCACCCGCAGGCTCTGGAGTTTGTCGGCTACAAGCTGGCGGAGAAGTTTGTGGTGAGTCGTTGGAATATAAACCTGAAACGATCGTGTCTCTGAAGCAACGAGTGGATTTGGAGTTCATGTTCTCCTGGTAGAAACAAGGTGAGGAGGAGGTGGCGTCTCATCACGAGGCAGCCTTCCCCATCGGTGCCGTGGCCTCTGGGATCTGGGAGCTGCACCCACAGGTGGGGGACCTCATCCTGGCCCACCTGCACAAGAAGTGTCCCTACTCGGTCCCGCACTACCCTCCGATGAAGGACGGCACGCCCGTGGAGGAGTACCAGAAGTGAGTGTCTCAGAAAAACACACCTCTGCAGTTTGTTTTCCAGCCGCCGTCACCTGGTTTCCTCCCACAGAATCCTGGGTTACCGCGTGGACGACGCCGGGGTCGAAGGTCAGGACAGTTTTCTGAAGAGGATGTCCGGGATGATCCGACTCTACGCCGCTCTGATCCAGCAGAAGTGGCCCTACGGCTCCAAGCAAGGGGTAAAAAGTGTTCCACGTCCCGTTGACGTCCCGCTCAAATGACCGCCCACTGACGCTGTTTTTGTTTCTCAGTCCGCTCCTCACGGCTTGAACCACGGCTGGCGCTGGTTGGCTCAGATGCTGAACATGGAGCCTCTGGCAGACATCACTGCCACGCTGCTGTTTGACTTTCTGGAGGTGAGTCCTGACCCGGATGTCTTCTTCGCACCGATGTGGTCCAAAGATATCTGAGAAAAGAGCTGTGGCTCGTCTCTTTCAGGTTTGTGGCAACGCGTTGATGAAACAGTACCAGGGTCAGTTCTGGAAGCTCATCCTGCTGCTGAGAGACGAGTACTTCCCCAGGTACAGACTCAGGTTGAATCCTCGGCAGCAGAAAGGTTTGGAGAAACGGTTTGATTCGTGAAACTCTGGTTTGTTCAGGATTGAAGCCGTGACCAGCAGTGGACAGATGGGCTCCGTCATCAGACTGAAGCAGTTCCTGGAGGTGAGTTTGTCTCTGAACCATCCTTAAGTTGGATGTTTTGTCTGTGAATATTAAAGGGATTCCTGATTAGTTGTTACATTAGACTTTATTTGATAAACATTTATTTTAACTGTAAAATAAAGACTGTAAAAATACTGTAGGATGTTTAGTTTTGTAAACTTTTTAAAACATATTTTAACACGGACGGAGACACACAAAGCATTCTGGGTAAATGACGTGGATAGGTCCTCGGTGCGAGGCTGCTAGCGAGCTATATCCACCCTGAAGGTTAATCTTGGACAATATCTGATGATCGACTCTTTTAAATGAAACCAGAGAGCGTTGACAGAGAGGAGAAGGTAGAAATGACTCAGCCTGGAACTGAAAATATGGATGGAGGACAACAGAGCTGCTTCATGGAAGAAGAACCTCAGATTAGCCTGTTAGCCTTCGCGCTAGCACCAGCGCTATATTGCCTTATGTGTATTAGCTTGGCGCTAGCAAAAGTTAAACTGAGGTCCTCCATCCATATTTTCAGTTGCAGCTGAGTCATTTTTGTGTTCCCCTCTCTGTCATGTGGATGGAGGACCTCAGTGAAGAGAGGAGAATGTGTAGCGCTGAGCTAACACATATACTGTATATGGTGATAGCATTGGGGCTAACGCTAAAGCTAACAGGTTAAGCTGAGGTTGTTCTTCCATGAAGCAGCTCTGTTGTCCTCCATCCATATTTTCAGTTCCAGGCTGAGTCATTTCTACCTTCTCCTCTCTGTCAACGCTCTCTGGTTTCATTTAAAAGAGTCGATCATCAGATATTGTCCAAGATTAACCTTCAGGGTGGATATAGCTCGCTAGCAGCCTCGCACCGAGGACCTATCCACGTCATCATTTACCCAGAATGCTTTGTGTGTAAATAAAATGGCTCCGTCCGTGTAATATATTTTTAAACTTTTAGTTTAAAAATTATAAAAACTAAATAGCCTATGGTATTTTTACAGTCTTTATTTTACAGTTAAAATATATGTTTATTAAATAAAGTCTAATGTTACAACTAATCGTGGCAGGGTTCAACAAGATTTTATTTTTTTACCTGCCCCGGGCAGTCGGGTAATAGGATTTGTCAAACCCTGAATCGTGGATCCCTTTAAACAAAACACCCAGACTCTGTTAGACTTTTACATCAAACAAAGAATCAGGAAAAAGTTGTAGTTTTAGTCAAGTCGATCTTAGAAATTAAACCAGCATCCCTTGAAGGAATGCATCTGCCTGCTGCCTAGCGTGCAAAAGTTTTCAAATGACTCTCAGTACCACACCAGATTTTAGCTCAGTATCTTTAAACCTGACTGAGTTTTACCCAGTTTATTGTTTGCTAAAGCTGATTAGCTGTGGTGGCCATCTTTATTGCTTTGACTCAAACCTAATCAGTTGTAAGCTCAGAGCCAACGTCTGGTTCGTCTGGTTCTTTAGATAGACGGATATACGGTGTTTATTCCTTGGTGGCACACAGTAACTTTTATAATTATTGTTTAGTAAACATATGAGGCTAAACTGGAGACATAAAGTTGGTTCAAAAATTTTTTTGAAACTGAAAAAAAAGTTACACAGCCAGCCATATTTGTATTATATGATACAATGGCTTGCCATATACTCAGATTATGTGATACAACAACCTGTCAAGCATTTTTAAATATGACACAACAACTTGCCGTACTTTAAATTATGACGCACCAGCCTGCCTTACCTCATTATGATACAAACTACCATATTTTTAAATTACATGACACAATGGCCTGCCGTACTAGGTTATGATAGATAGTTATTTAAGAGATACAACCTGTCATATTTTTTTATTTGTATGATGACACAACGGCCTGACAATTTTCAAATTGACGCAGCATACCATAAATTGTTAATTATATGATACAATGTCCTGCCGTGTTTAATTTAAATGACACAACAGCTTGCCTTGCATCATGAATTATGATATAACCTGCCATGCCTAATGATACGGCAATCTATACCTTATTCATTTTATGAAACAACAGCATGCCGTACTTGATTATACAAGTAGTTTTGAACTTTTGTTTTATTAGTTTCAAATCTTTTTTCTTTTGTTCATTTTCAAAATTGTCTTTCAGTTTCAAATCATTTATTTTTTGTTCCAAAATTTTTCTTTCAGTTTAAAATTTGTTTTATTTTAAACAATTTAGCTTCATATAAACACATGAAATATTTTGTACTGGTGCTTTTCTAAAGCTTAGATGACAGCAAAGAAAAAAAGAATTGATCTGTTATCGTCATACTGAACACAGTTAGTCAGATGAACGTGCAGGTGTGGGATATGGATGAAAGGTTTATTATGAAAACAAGTGAATAAAAGCCACTCTCCTCCTCCTCCTCCCACGCAGACGTCCCTGCAGAACCGACAGATCAGTCCGCCCAAAGGCCAGCTGAGCTCCACGTTCTGGAGGTTGTGACGGAGGACGAGTTCCTGAAAGAACTGAATGAAACAGCTGCCGGAGTGACGGAACCTCAGTGAGGGAAGGAGGGCGGCTTCTGTAGCTTCTCTGGATCTTAGGAGAGTTTCTTCACATCGGAGGACTCTACCCGGTGTTTATACTTTTTAATTCATATCCTTAAACTAAAGGAAGGGGGGGGGGGGGGCACATGCCAGATGTATTAAAGTCCAGATATTCACCTTTTAGTTTCTTTATCTCACTTCAACACTAAGAAACTATCCAGGATCTGTTGTCCACATTCTAATAATGAACTCGAGCACAAAACGTCTGTCCAGTCACCGTCCAGAAGCTTTTTGTGACGTGAGAATGAGGTGAGGTGTCGCTGTCTGAAGCGTGTTAATCTTCCAGATTTGTGCGTTTTAAGCAAAAATATTTCCTCATATTTTGTTACCACAGAAAACCTGAATTTAGCTTTTTTTTTTAAATCATAGAAGTTGATAAATTTGAACTTTTTGCTATTTTTTCATAAATTAATTTGTGCTTTTGTTGAATCACTGTTAATGAAACTGAAAATTAAAAATACAAAGTGTTAAATTAAACTGAAGTTTTTCTTTTTCTGATTACAAACTGTTGGACTTGTTTCCTGCAGCAACAGTTTAACCAAACTCTGACAGAATTATGTCAAGTAGAATAAAAACAAGATTTGTTTTTTAAATGTTATTTTACTTTACATAAGTTGTTTCGATACAGTTAATTCCATTAATGTGCAGTAAACAGATTACACATTGAAGAAGTGCATTCTGACAGTCCTCAGAGAATCCCAGCCTTATCGCTCAACTGATCCTGAATCAGTTACAAGAAACAAACAATAAATACAAATCTTAAGGTTTCAGCACGAAAACTAGAGAAATCTACATGAGACGTTTATCTTCTGCTGATTTAACGCCCTTAAAATGAACCTCGAAGACAATTTTAGCTTTTGGTTTTCAGTTTTACTGTCCTTACATCATATAGCTGTTATAGTGGCCAAAAATTAACTATTTTTAAGCTGTTTTAACCAACATTTGTATTGAGGAGGGAAAGAATAACCATGTTTTTAAGACAAATGAAAATAAAATATGTACATTACATATTTTTCTATAAACAAGTTTAAATTAGCCAAAATTACTAAAATACATCAAGTTTCCTCTCTTACAAGATGCTGAAAGTGTCTAATTTAAACAACATTTTGGACACAGAAAAAAAAGTTTAAATTACTTCTTTAATTCTTATTGAAGAAGTAAAAGCAATACTATTTAATTAGACTTAAATTAGCAGAAAACTTGTGATTTCTGGATGCAGTTCTTCTTGTTCACCAGTAGATGTCGCTGAAGCAACCTAAAAGTTTTCCCACAGCTCAGTTCTGTCACTTCTCCGATGGTTTAACTCGTTCGTCTCGCAGGAAGTCGACCCGACTGGCCGTGAGCTGTTTTTATCCTTACAAACGAAGCGGATCTGGTTTCCCCGTGCGGGTCACGGTCCGTCTGGAGCTCAGAGTTTGCTCTGCGGTCGCCCCTCGTGGTTGAGCGTGGCCGTCTGCATGCGCGTGTACCAGTGTTTAACTTTGGTGTTCCTCATCATGTCGTCGAACGCCTGCAGGCCTTCCATCACCCTGAGGACTCCAAACACCGCCTGTGGACAAACCAGGACGTGAGCTCGGTTTTTTTTAAAGAAATGAAACCTTTTAATACGAGCTGAAGCCTCACCAGGTCCGCCAGGTTGGGCTGATTGCCGCCCATGAACTTCCTGTTCTTGCCGATGGCTGCCACCCAATCGTTGACGGCCTTGTAGAGATCCTGCCTGACGTCGTCCTGCAGGTTGTGTCTGAGTCAAAGGAGAGACTAATTAACCCCTCGTGTTCAAACGCTAACAAAACAAAATTTACATTTTCTGCGAAAATGCTGCGTGAATTTGTTAAAATGAAAAAAGTGAAAAATCAGCATGAAAATAGCAAAAATGTGATAAAGGCTGAACAGGGCAGAATTGTGGCTAAAGTCACCAGAAAATAGAAAATATTTGCAAAAATGTAGCATTAAAAGCAGAAAAGTTGTAACTACCAAAAAGACGTTGAAAGAAAATAAGAATTTACAAACAAAATATTTATGAACAAGAATGAAGCTGAAATTAGACAAAAGCTAAAACCAGCAGAAAAGCTCAAACTGAAGGATGTTTGCTGAATTAAGCAGTAAGAAGCTGAAATTATCACAAAAAGGAGAATTTAGCTGAAAAAAGCTAAAACAAAGTAGCTTAAACTAGCTGGAGCTGAAGGAGCACAAGTTTTCTGAATTAAGCCTTAAGAAAAGGAAATTACAAAAAGGTGAATTTAGCCAAATAAAAGCTAAAAATAGCTGAAAAGAAACCAAACAAAGCTGAAACTAAAAGGAGCTTGTTTTTGCTGAATTAAATAGTAAAAAGCTGAAATTATCACAAAAAAAGGTGAATTTAGCTGACAAACATAGCTGCAAAGTAACTAAAAAACCTGAAACTGAAGGCACGTTTGCTGAATTAAGCCAAAACAAAGCTGAGGAAAACAGCCACAACATGTATTTAGCTGAATGACTCAAATGAGCAAAAATAAAAACAGACGAAGAGCAGCTGAGTGCAGAAAATAAAAACGGCCGACTGAAGCTGAAAGCAGCACATCAAAATGGACATGAACAGGAAGTTTCAAAATAGCAGAAAAAATTTAAACAGATAAAATTAGCAAAAAAAAAAGCTGAAATTTTTCACAAAATAGTTTAAAAACGCAGAACCCGAACAAAAGGTGTAAAGATTCATAAACATTTTAAAGGGTTTTAAAGATGCTGAAGACAGTTCCATTCATTTTCAATGAGAAAAAAAGGCAGAAAAAGCTAAATATCTAAAAAAAAATTGTTGAACACTAAAAGTTATAGCTTGAAGGAGCTGAATGTTTTGACAGATAAACTGTTGAAAAAGCACAACTATTGCAGAATGAGATACCTGCTGAAAACTGGACGGAGTAAAACCAGATGGATGTTTTATAAAAACTCACACAACAGAAGACATTCGACTCACCGGCTCTTCAGTCTCTTTGATATTACATACATGGCTGCAGCTCCTACGTATTTGGCGAAGAAGCCCTCGACGCTACCAAACTTGCCCTCACGCACGATGTAGTCGAAGGAGGCCAGGGCCTCGCCGGTGGTCCGGTACACATTTGGAGATATTAGGTGCACAAGCCAATCGTCGGCCCACTGACGCCACTTCATCTCCTCTCTGAAAACAGGACAAATTTTCTCTTCAAGACAGTTTCAAAAATGTAAAACACGATACATTGACCTTTTTTTAATTTTATTTTGGTACTTACTTCTGCGTTCCCTTCTCGGGGTAAATCACGCCAGTTTCATCCTCGCTCAGCATCAGCCAGTACTTGTTGCTGTACTCCGTCACTTCTTTACCCTTTTCGTTCACGTATTTCAGCTCCGGGTAGCAGCGGATGATGTCAGTCATGCTTTTCTCCCTGGATCACAGAAAGTTTGGTTTTTGTATTCACCTTATGAGGAAAACGCTAGCTAAAAGTAGAAAAATGCTAGCTAAAAGTAGCAAAACACTAGGTACAAGTCATCAAAACCCAAATGAGAAAAGTAGCACAACAATAACTGAAACGCAAGCTAAAGCTAACAAACTAACTGGAATTAGCAAAAGTCTAGCTAAAAGCAAAAGCAAACAGAAATAAAAACACATCTACAAGTAGCAAAACACTACTTAAAAAACTAAAATTAAAAAAGGTTTAGCAATAAGGTAACATTAGCAAAATGCTAGCAAAAAAGAACAAAAAGCTAGCTTAAAGCTAAAAGTATCAAAAGTCTAGCTAAAAATCAAATGATTGCTAAAAGTTGCAAAATTCTAGCCAACGGGGGAAATACAAGCTAAATGTGTCAAAACAGTAGGTAAAATGAGCAAATGTCTAGCTAAAAAAAAAAACAAACACAATAGTTAAAACTTCAAATTAAAAAAGGTTTGGAAATAAGGTAACAGTAGCAAAATGCTAGCAAAAAGTAACAAAACACTAGCTACAAGTCAACAAAACCAAAATAAGAAAAGTAGCACAACACTAACTTAAATGCAAGCTAAAGCTAATAAACTACTAACTGAAATTAGCGAAAGTCTAGCTAAAAGCAAACAAATAAAAATACAATCTATAAGTACCAAAACAATAGTTAAAAAGCTAAAATTAAAGGTTTAGCAATAAGGTAACATTAATGAAATGATTGCTAAAAGTTGCAAAATTCTAGCTTAAAGCCAACGGAGGAAATGCAAGCTAAATGTGTCAAAACAGTAGTTAAAATGAGTAAATGTCTAGCTAAAAAAAAAGGTTCAAACTTCAAATTAAAAAAGGTTTGGAAATAAGGTAACAGTAGCAAAATGTTAGCAAAGAGTAACAAAACACTAGCTTAAAGCTAAAAGTATCAACTCTAGCTTAAAGCTAACAGAGGTAAAATACAAGCTAACCGTGATAAAACAGTAAAGTAGAAAAACACTAGTAAAAAGCCAACAGTAGCAAAATGCTTGCAAATGGTAAAACAGTAGCTAAAACTATCAAAAATCTAGTTACAAGTGAACAGTAGGAAAGCACATGCTAAAAGCTAAAATTAGCAAAAGTCTAGCTAAAAGTAGTGAAATCCTTGCTAAAAGTAAACAGAAATCAAAACACCATCTAAAAGTAGCAAAACACAAAATTAAAAACGGTTTAACAATAAGGTAACATTAGCAAAATGCTAGCAAAAAGTAACAAAACACTAGATGTCCAGCTAAATGTAGCAAAATGATTGCTAAAGTTTTCAAAACTAAAGCTAACAGAGGTAAAATACAAGCTGAACGTGGTAAAACTGTAGTAAAAAGCCAACAGTAGCAAAATGATGCAAATATTAAAACAGTAGCTAAAAGTATAAAACGTCTAGCTACAAGTCAGCAGTAGGAAAGCACAAGCTAAAAGCTAAAATTAGCAAAGGTTCAACTAAAAGCCAAACACAGAAAACTTATCTAAAGTTTGCAAAAGCTATAAGTAGAAACAGGTAGCCATGATTTAAATTAGCAACACAGTAGCTAAAAATAGCATAGAAACATTCATATATAAATATTAATAAATGCATTACATCTTAAATATTTATAAAACAGCTTTTTTCTGTAAACTTCGACTTACTTGTTGATCATAAAAGTCCTGATGGCGCTGATGATGACGGACGAGTCGTTGAGTTGCTGCAAACGAGCATGAAAAAGAAATTCACTGTAAACGTGATCTACATCTGAACAAAACAGCTTCAATGATGTCATCAAATGTGGGTGGAATTCTTCACCAGTTCTCCTCCGACCATCAGGATGGGAACCTTTCTGTAAGACGACCACTTGATTTCCTGCCTCATCACCGGGTTCACCTCCACGATCTCGTACGGCAGACCGTAGTAATCCAAGAAGGCCCGCACCTTGCTGCAGAACGGGCAGGTTTTGTACTGGTACATGGTCAGCTTTAAACCTGGTCCTGAGACCTGGTCCACCGGGTCCTGGCTCACGTTTCTATCCTCCTCAGCCAGGTGTTGCTCCTGCGCGGACAGATTCATGGTTTGGTATAATACCAGACCTCCGCCGAGCAGAAAGGCGCTGCCCAGCGCCCTGCCGTCTCCTGCCCGCAGAGCAGAGAGCAGTTTGGACCGGAACCCCGGGCCGCCGGTGGCGTAAGCCCTCCTAGACCCGTGTCCGCTGACATTGCCCAGCAGATAGGAGACGGTACCGGACCGTGTGACGGCTGGAGTCTGCAGAAAAGACCGGCCGACCTTACAGAGCGCTCGGACACTGGCGGCGGCCATGTTGTTTTTACGTAAACACCCACAATTCACTGCGATCACTGTAAAAGGGTTGTTAGTACCCTGAGTTTAGTCTGACAGGACGTGTGCTGCCTTCAGTGACAAAGAAAGGCGTCACGGAAGGATATTTAAACGGACTTTAAAGTGAAGACTGAATTTCTTTTTTACAAAGTGAACAGAGAAACATTAAAAACATAGGAAGATCACAAAAATCAAACAAAACTTCAGTTCAAAAGCTATAACATACTATAAAACACTATAAATTAAACTGTTATATAAAGCAGTGGTTCCCAAACTTTTTGTCTTCTGACCCACAAAATATCCATGGCAAAAACTTGTGACCCCAAATATTACTGGTCTGAGTACATGAACTT